AAATCAAGACGAGGAATTTTGGTTTTGTCAGTACGGTATCTCAAGCAGGCTTAGAAACTAAAAGCCAACCAAAGAAGCTTTAGGTGCAATAAAACAACGGCAAAAAAATAGCTGCGAAAAACAAAAGGGATCATGTTAACTATTTCTCCCTATTGCAATAGGGGGGTTCAACCAATAGGAATGCGAATTGAAATAACGTCAACTAATAGGAATGCGACAGAACAAATTTCTGATAAATACAAAACCAATCCAGTTGAGCATAAATGAAATGTGTTTTTATAGGGGAGGGGGGATCCTTTCCAAGGTAACACAGGTGGTGTTGGGGGGGGGGGGGGTGCATAGTTAACATGATCCAACAAAAGAAACAAATTGATGGAAAGGACTCACGACCGCTCGCGTCCAGTAAAACACATTACACGATTGGACCAATGGAGCTTATATACATATGCTTGCGCATACATTAGGAGTAAACAGCAAGTAACAGTGATTGCATTAATGTTAAGCGAGCTCACAGGCTCTTTCAGTAACTTTCCTCAACATGAACGTGGAATTTTCTATAGTATTTGAGCTCAGATAATAAAAGTTTTATTTAACGGTCAAAATTTTTTTAATGCAATCGGTTGACCTGAAAAATCCACAACTAGTTGTCTGAAACTAGTTATAAACACGAAAAAAATGTTGACATTAGAAAATTGTTACAGTGAAATTTAACCCTTGTGCTATCACTAAAAAGGCAAAAAAGGAAAACCATTATCTTATAACAACAAAAGGTGTCATCAGGAAGACCTTTTTGTGTGTTAACCGCTTCCCAGCTGACTGCAGTTTATTATCTTATTTATTATCAGTTATTTTAATCTACTAAACAATTGCCCCCTTTCTTAAAGGGGGGAGACAATTGTTAAGTAGATCCAAAACGAGTCATGAACAACTTGAAAAAACCAATGATTATTTTGCAAAATTGATGTTTATATTTCGTAAATGGTTGTGTTGTGGTGACGGTAGACCTGCTATTTAAAATTTTAAACAATTCAAATTTAGCTTGGACGTAAAAAAATATCCACTTTCACTGAAATTTCAAATTAAAGCTCCAAATATGATGTTTTCGATTTCTACTCCCTTCTATGTTTCTGACATCACTTGAACAACTAAAAATTGAAATTTTCATACAGTGGCATCAGAGCTTTGCACTTGTGATGCAATTCAAAAGTAAAAATGAAGCCAAGGCGACAAATTTTGTGCAGACGATCTTTGAACCAAAAAAATTTAACATGAAGCATTAGAGCTAATGAAGTTACGCAACTCGAGACTTCAATAGCATAAAAATCTATTTTTGCTGTTGAAACGACATAATATGTTACTAATTGACACCGCATTAGCCGATATCATTTCCGCGGAATAAACATTTTAAGCAAAAAGAACGTCAAGGAAAGAAAAGAAAAGGAATTTATACAAAATCAGAAGACGGAACTTTTCAGAAACTAAAAAATTGCTTCAATCGGCACAAAATTGGATGATTTATAAAGTAATCTTACAAACAAAAGTACGACAAGTTAATTTCTCCCAAAAACATTTTAAAAATTAGCTCCTGGCAGGATGTACGTCATAGCCTTTGCATGGGCCTTATTCGCAAAATAAACAGGCCAAGTTTCTTATTCAAATTTGATATACTTTTAAAAAGCAGTGAGCAAATGGTTCAATGGTTATTTTTTAAAAACAAATTAGCCCGAAAACAACATATGATCCGATTTGCTGACGCTTGCCTTTCGTAATGTAAACACACAATGTAATAAATACAGGCCGCGCACCTTAAATAACAAGGTTTCGATCAAAGTTAAAAATGAACTGAAAAGTCGAAAAATTATTCTCATAAAAGAATGATCAAAACCAAGTTATTTTTTAAGTTTTGACAATTTTGCAGGTTTAATTTCTCGGATTTATTACGAGGCATTAAAAAGGGTGACTAGTATTTTTCCAAAAAAATCCTTGTTAGGTTTTGATCGTTCTCGTATAATAGCAACGAAAATATATCGAATAAAAACATAATCCGAATAAAAACATAAAAAATAATCCGACTGAATTAAAGCCGACCAAATTCAGTGCCGAAAATTGAACACAAGTTATTAACAGGAAAAATTCTTGTACTCGGTTGCTTTTCTTAAGTGTAACAAAGTAATAGTTTCAAAGAATAAGTATATCAGCTCAAATATTTCATGAGAAATTCGCCTTTGGTTTGAAAAAGTTCATCTAATAGACTGTTTGGAACTTTAAATTTAACGTGTCCAGTAGTTGAATTGCTTCAAACCAAAAGCGAATTTCTCATAAATATTTGAGCTGAGATACTAAGATTTTACGTTTGCTTGGAATAAAAAATTCAACTAAACGTAAAAACAATTTTGGACAAAAGTATGTAAACACAGCCTCATTTTAGCCCCATGTAGAAAAAAATATGTTAAAAGGCAATATCATAATTACTCATTATGGCAAACTTGGGGGTACTTGATATTCCTCAGTGGCCAGGACCTCCATTTCTATCTATTTTAAGAGTTTCTATGACAAACTGATAGGAAACATTTTTGCAAGCAAACTTGTCAACCAAAAGGGGCATCACTTGGGCTTTCAGGGGTCGACCAGCCCGAACAGAGCTTACATACTAATCAGGGGCGGATCTAGGATTTTCTCGAGGGGGGGCGGATTTTCGAAAATTTGTACGACCTTTTTTTTTAGGCCGATCAGATTGATTTTCCGAGCTCTCCCAAAGCAGTAAAAAGACCCTGTTTTGGCCAAATTTTCTGCGCCGTAGGCAATTTTTGAAAAAACAGGTCAAAAAAGCCGTTTTTGGGCACTTTTTGGAAAATTTTGAGAAAAAAAAACGCGTTTTTTTGGCGCGCGCTCCCCCTCAAAATTAGTATATATTGGCGCCAAAGGCGCCTTTAGAAAAATTTTAGGATCGGTCGGCCAAAAATAGTTTTCTTAAAAAGTACCAAAGGGGGGACCCTTTGGGTTGGCAGGGGTTCGAATCCCTGAGAGGGGCGTCCGCCCCCCCCCCCCTAAATCCGCCCCTGATACTAATTGATCTAATGCAAGGAATGATTGACTAGTGTGCCTAGTATTATAAATCTCATACACTGCTACACTGCTTTTAAGCCAAAAAAGTGGTTTACGGAAAAAGCCTAGTTCTCGATTACAAAACACTTGCTCTCGCAAGGGTGAAAAAAATTATTAGTAAAAATTAGGCGGCAAAAACTCATCTTTGGCCATGACCCGACAAGCAACACAACTTTTTGCGCGTCTGTAGTACCAACAACAACAACCGTTGAATTTGGAATTATTATTTTAGATCTCAAATAACCAAAAGATAGCCAACAGACAGTTGGAAAAAAGCCAATGAACGCAAGTAAAAAAAGACTTAGTTTAAAAAAATTAAGGAAAAAGAATTTCAAGGAAAAAAATATGTCCTTAACTCACTTTGAACTTCCAGAACAGTTCATGATTCACACTTTTTTAGATGAAATTAACTCAATTTGAGAAAACTGGAGCAATAGGTAAAAATTTATTCTGCAGGACAATCTTAGAAACAAAATGCCCTTTTGCTGTTTGATAGTGGAGTTTGCTTTCCTTTTAACAAAGGAAATGAGCTGAACTTATCAAAAAATCATGAAACCGCAAAAAAAGTTAATTTGATCCTGAACAAATTTAAAGGTTTTTCCTGACAAAAACTTATAAACACAGGTGAAGCGGAGCAACACAAACAAAGAAAACATCAACAGCCGAAAAAATGAAAATTCAAAACAACTAGGACATATAAACTTTCATATGTCTCAATAAAAATCATTCCAAGCAAACATGCCAGAAACTTGAATTTTAAATCAGCAACAATTGAACAAAATTTACGAAAAGAAACAAAGCCGAAAAGAAACAAAGCCGAAACAGAGCAGAAACAAATTGAGCCAAAAAAAATTATAAAAAGCATAGAAACCCACCCTAAACAACAATGGACAACCCTTACAAATACAATGACAGTTGTTTATAGCACATGAAAAATCAGTGATAACGCAACTTTGCCAACAATCTTTGAGCTGAAACCACTTGAACAGAAATTTTTTTTCAAGTCCCCTTAAAAACTAGAATGAACAGCACTTGCAATAGCAACTAAAATGAAAGTTGCAGCAAAAAAATCCTTGATGTGGCAACTAAGCCGACAATCTCTGAGCAGACATCCACAGAATCGCAAAAAAAAAGAAATTAGAATGAACAACACTTGCACTTGCAACTACAATGAAAATTGTCAACAGCACAAGCAAAATCCGTAGTATTAAAACTGAATTTTAAAGAAATTGACCATGTCTGTCAGCAGCATAGTCAGCAGGTCATTCAACTGATTTTGCTAAACTAGTTGTTAACTAGAAAAAAGTCGATATTTCAGTTTGATAACGCTTGCTTATCGCAAGCATAAAAATCATCAGCACCTATTTTAGAGAATAAAAATTGAAAAACTGCTGAAAAAAATTGAATTTTCTGTCAACAATGTCTAAGACAAAAAAATGATAAAACCAGGTTACAATACGCTTGTTAATCATACAGCGAGAAACCGTTATTTCCTTCAGTACTTCCTTTTACGTAGCCTTAAATAGAACAACGCTTACTCTTATTGATTAAGATTCCTGGTCGACGCCATAATTCATGTCGCGCTAAATCAAAACAATGGGTACCCTAAACTCAAAACTGCATAAAGGCCTATACCTATCTTGCAATAACCACATTACTCGATTCACAACACAAATTACAAAACAAAATGTTGAAATATGAATTAGAGCAAAAGCTCAAAATTTGGACACTATGATTACGAAAGGTAAAATTAGATACATTTAAGATATATTCGATTGAGATGATTTTATATGAACAAATGTATGTACAAATACTACAAGCCATATTTTAAGTGCATTGGAGTTCAAAACTAAGATGAAAGTTCAGTTCATACATCATATGTTGGAATCCTGAAACCAAAAACATCTTTTTACTAAGCACATTTGTTAGTTCGTTTTTAATATTAACCATGTTTCATACAGATGAATGATTGCCTGTTATGAAAAATTAAGACCAATCATATATCAATTAGTGATTGAGAACCTACATAAATATCTGGTTTCATTCTCTACTTGGAGAAAACAAAAATCTTCTTTGTTAGATCTCTTTACACTGTATACGGCATGGTTCTAACATACATGCATGCGCAATAAGAAAACGGCGCTAAGACGTGCTTACTATAAAAATGGCCATAGTGCTCAAAATTCAATGAATAATTGGACTAGACTCTGGAGACAGGATTTGAAGTTGGACTTGCTTTTTTCTTCTCTTCATGCTGCTGTTTCATCTCCAGTTGCTTCACTCTTGTGTAGCCCAGGCTGCCTCCTAGAGACATGAAATTAGAGGTCCACCAGAGGTAGCTTTTACTCTGTTGAAAGAACACACAAGCGATCACAGTTTGTACACACGCTTTCGCAGTCCCGCTGATATTGTGAGTGAGGGGAGAAGTGACTTGGATTTGCAGGCCAGACACGTAGGCAATCGAGATGCCCAGCACACCAGACAGGTTCATGGCGGCCCAGAAGGAGGCAAACCCAATGTAGGGAAACGATATGAGGGTGCCCACCTACCAAACAAAAGCCGGGTTGAACCAAAACAAAAAATACAAAGTTTAAAGAATGAATCAGGCGACTAAAAGCAAACTCAATAACCGCAAGTGTTATAACTATTTACAGATATAGCTTCAACCATCAGGAAAAATGTTGAAAATTCAGCTCAGTAGTTTTTAGTTGTGCTTCGCAAGGCTGCCATGATGTGAGATTTACTCAAATTGCTCCTCAACGTTTAAATGAAAACAAAAAAACACACTTGACTGGTTAAACTTTTATCAAGAAATACTTTGCCACTAGAACTAGTCTATTTTTGCTTATTCTTTACCTCTCCGTTCATGAGTATGAGGGGCAAGAAGAGGAATGATGCGTTGATGTTGTTGTAGTATGTGAGGAGCCACACACTGTTGTCCACCACTGGCAACACACGCTTGGTGAAGATGGCGTTCAGGGCCACACAGCAGCTGGCCAAAACCCCACACACCACGCCCTTGTACGAGATGTCCACTGAAAACACAATACACCACATGATGCGCCATAAATTTCATCAAATCTATGATGGATATTGGAACATCGGAAAAAACCCAACACAATAAGATTCTAAACTTAACACAGAGGCGAAGCAGCACTAATAATGCAAAGAAAAAGGAAAAAGCGAAAAGAAGTCTTGAAACATTAAAACTTTCTATGCGCCGGATTCAAACCACGGACCAAGAGATTGAGCGGCTTACGTCCTCCCAACTGCGCCATTTACGCCTTGTACAATGGTTTCTCTGTAACTAATGAAACATTTTAGGTCCCCAAGCCCTTCGAACTGTTGTCGCGCATCAAACGACGCAAAAAGAGGCTAATAAGCCGATATTAAACAACCGAAGCCTATAAAGCCAAAAAACAATTCAACAAACCAACTGGTAAAAATGCGGAGAGGAACGCAAAAATTGTGTTTCCTATGAAACGACCTAGAATTAGGTAACTACGCTGATAAGAAAAAACAGGCCGAAAGTTTGGGCCGAATGAATTTTTCAAGCGGAACAAAAAATAGAACAAGTAAGATAACAAGTAAATCAAACTTGATAGGTACCATTTAAAACAAGCGGGCAGCAAAAAAAAACTATTCCCAGATTTTGCAGTTGTTGTGAAAAAAAGTTTCCAAAAAAAACAATTAAAAATTCAAAATTTGGACACTTTATAAAGATGTAACTTTGTCTACAAAAAACATCGCCAACAGACAGTTGGGTAAGAGTAATCAACGCAACAAAACTAAAAAACTACTTGTTTTTTCAAAAATCATCAACTTTTGAATTTCGAAGAAAAAAATAGATGGCCTTGAAACTCTTTGAATTCGTAGAACAATTTATGATACTTTTTTGTTAAAATTGACGTAATTTGAGAAAACTGAATCAATAGGTAAAACTTTAATTTCGCTGAGAAGTGTGACAATTAATTTCCATTTTCGATGTTAGAAGTCGGTCAAGTTTTTCGTGACCTGTACACTTTTTCTGTTTGATAGTGGAGTTTGCCTTCCTTTCAACAATAGAAATGCACTGAACTTAAAAAGAAATCACAAGTCAAGCCGTGAAAAATCAAATTGAGCGTGAACATATTTTAAGACTTTTTCCTGAAAAAAAATCAGCAAGACCTGTATAAGAGTACTCAATACGTTCATTACTCTTAATTAGAGCGTAACAGTTTACACAGGGGAGATCCCCATGATCTTCTCTATCAATTGAATATTTTATTTTACATTTGGTAAGGCATTTTTTCAGAAGAACTAAATCTAAAAAAGATTAAAAAAACCCCACTCTGAAATTTTCGAAGGCCGTAAAACAATGAGTAAGGAAAAAAAATACTAGCGTATTATGCATACACACATTGGGGTAGCCAATCTTTCAATCAGTTCAATTTTTTTTTATATAAATCGGTGTATTAGTGTTCGAGAAAAACTAAAATTTCAAAATTTTTGCAAAATTTCAAAAGGGTAAAATTTTTCCAAGCGTCGCAAACAAACCAAATCCCATACAATTTCAAAACACTCGTTATAATCAAACAAGGCAACAATTGAAGAAATAGAGCCAATCGAAGATTTGAAAAGAGTAATGAACGCCAGTAAACATTTAAAAAACACTGACTTTGTTGAAAAAATCCCAGCTTTCGATTTTCAAAGAAAAAAAGATGCCCTTTAAGCTCTTTGAATTTCCAGAACGATTTATGATTGGCAGTTCTTTGATAACATTAACCCAACTTGAGAAAACTGGATCAACAGGTAAAGTTTTTATTCCGCTGGATAAAAACTTAATTCCACTTTCGAAACTAGAGATCGTTCACGTTTTTGGCGCCATTTCCACGTTCGTATTTGGATTGCTATATACGTCCCTTTTAGCAGAACAATTTCAATTGATCTCAAGAAGTGCATATAAACCTAAGTGCATTCATAAATGCATCAATATGTATGAAGGTACATCTAAAGTTATTCGCAACTTTCATGTACATTTTAAGACTTTTTCCTGAAAAAAAAGCGATAAAAAAATCACCAAGAACTATATAAGATTCTTCACTACGTTCATTACTCTTAAAAATGACTATTAAAACAAAACATTGAAAAAAAATGCGGAAAAATTTAAATTGTTGAATCTTTCCATTAATTATCTTTTAAACATAATCTATTGTAAGCCTGCTCTCGCATTATTCGTTCGAATTCAAACTAACAATCAAAAATTAAAAACCTATTTTACTCAAAACTGGGACAACTTTTTAGAAACTTTTTGATGTCGTTCGAATCACGACTCACAGGGCTTTAATAGGATACTAGCGTGTAACGCACCTCCGGCGTTTCGAATTTTTACTAATTCTTAAAAAACCGCAATTATTGAAAAAAAGATCTGCATCCTTTGAGTGTACCCTGACAGCACCCAATTATAGGGTTGGTAGTTTCAAATTTTGCCAAGTTTTTTTTCAAGTTTTTTCAATTTAAATTTTGAAAAACCATAAGAATTTGCAAAGTTTTAGATATGTTCTTTGAAAAAATTTAAAATTAACTAAGAAACGTCCTTAAGAATTTCCAGAACGATTTATGATAGTATAACTAAGTGCATCAATATTTTATGACTTTTTCCTGAAAAAAATAATCAGTAAGACCTACATAAGAGTTTCACTACGTTCATTACTCTTAAAACTAGCAAACTGACAGTTGGAAAAGAGCCATGAACGCAAGGAAATAGAGAAAAAACTGATTTAAATTTAGAAAAAAAAACTTCAAACTGCGAAGTAAAAAATAAAAAGACTTAATAATTTCTGATTTTCGAGATCAATTTATGCTGACATTTTTTTGGATAAATTAACCCAATTTGAGAAAACTGGATCAATAGGTATTTTTTTCATTCCACTGCGAAATCTTCAAATAAAATAATCTTGAAAATAATCACAACTGAATACTAATATTTGCGACTAAAGTTGAAAAAAAAGAGAGTTCATACTATCGCACAAGCTTTGCTCGTGTAAAAAACAATCGATCGGTAATTTAACACATCGCTAGCAAATTTGCTTGTGTTAACGGAATACGATTATAATCAAATATCAGATTAGAAATTCGATCGATTCCGTATAGTTCATCGACCTGTTTTCGCATCACAAGAAAATCTTCTGAAACCTCAAGAAATAATGTGACAAGTAAAACGACAGTTCGCGCAAACAATTCACATTTGGCATTATTTTCTTCATAGAAAAATATGTTCAAGACGACTAATTCCACTATCATTTTCTTCACAAACGTCTTTTCACTTCACATATTTTGTGTGCTCCTAAAAATCTTTACGCACAGTTCAACGACTGTTACATGCTTCGAATTTACATGCCTCAACAAATTTACATGCTGTTACATGCTTCAACGAATTTACGCACAGTTCAACGACTGATTACATGCTTTATATAGTCTTTACCTGACTCCTTCTCCTGGTCGATGCCGAGGAAGAATCCTCCCACGATTATACCACAACAGGCAAGTGCAGATAGAGAAGTCTTCTGACCCAGAATTACAAAAGAAAACACCTGGAAGCAACATGAGATGATTAAGATACACAGAAAACAAAGAGTGGGGGTTTGAAACGTTTTTATCCAAATATACAAAAAAATCATAATTAAACGAAAAAAAAATGTGTTCTTTTTTCAAATTCTTTTGTTTCTGCTACTTTCTTCAAAAGAACACACAAGCAAAACATGAAAACAATGCTATCGTTAAGCATCGAACTCAATAATTAAATTGTGTATGCAAAAAAAAGCCATTTTTCCTGCTTTTTATTCATACAATTGGTTTCGCAAGGACCCGTAGATCATCCGATGAGTATAAACCTTTCGCTTTAGCCCACAAAACTGGAACAACATTGTGATTTTTTCTCATTTCGTTATAAACAACTTTTTTATTTTCTGTTTTAAACAGTTTCTTTACTCATTTGTTTTAAAAAAAAGTTTTGAACAAATTCCCCCAACCTGACAGAAAACTGCCAAAAATTTGAGATAATCGATATTTCAAACGCTCTTTTCAATCAGAATACTGAAGTGAATTCGCAAGTGAGCTAAATGATTAAAAAAGAGCTACGATTGAGGATTTCGTCCCAATCGATGAAGCTACAATTGAATGAGTTTGCTCTTTAGTTCTTAACTAACCACATTGAAAACAGTGGTAAGTGATCTTCCGACATTGTAGAAGGCGACTCCAACATACTGCAGACAAAGATTGTTGAACATGATCATGCCCACAAAGACGAGACTCAGAGGAAGCACCTACAAAAACAGCCAACATCAACTAGGAGTCATATGTTGACCACAACAATAATTTCATTCAGTAATTCAAGAAATTCTTTACAGATTTTAGAGATTACAGATTTAAGTAGTTACAAAAAAGCTAACCGGTTTTCTGAAACAAATAGCGCAGAATGTTCCAACCACATTCATGAAAAACTACAAAAAAGTTTTTCCTTTTTTTTGTCAAAAAAGTGTCGTTTTTAGCGCGGTGTGATGAGAGATTGTTGTTGTTATTATTAACCCGTTGTTTGGGGCGCGTTCGGCACTCTCTTGCCGAATTCAAGGAATGGTGCAACCTCCGTCGGCCAAAACCACAAGTCTATTGGGTTCAGGTTTGCTCTGTTTTGGGGACAGTTAAAGTGCAACGCAGTGTGGGGAGCAGGGCAGAAAGGAAAGCTTGGAGGAAAATTTGGGTCTATCATCGCTTATAAGTATCTAATTAAGGGCTGTATCCTTATCTTATTTGAGCGAGGGTGCGCATAGTCGAGCATGGGATTTTGTTAAGTTCTTGAAACTTCTGCGGGTCTAAAGAGGAAAACGTTGGGATGGGGCTTCAACTATGACTTTCTGCACTCGGTGTATGCGTATACTCTTCATTAGTGTTTTAAAATTGCTGTTAATGAACGCTTTTAGGTGGTTAAAACCATCAAAGAGTCACACTCATTTGCTTCTATCTAGTTCAATTTGTTCAAGTTCCTCATTATAAGAGACTAAGATGTCACGCGTTGCTGGCAGGGCGGTCGAGGGTATGGTAAAAAATGGAGGGGGCTTAATGGCACGTAGGTCTTGAGGACGAATTACGAGGCAAGGAGTTTGTGGTGATTTTTGACGTTAAGTACTTAGCACTCTTAATGAAGGTGGTCAATGGGGCTCATGTTTGCACACCCAGTCACTAAATGTAGAGCTGCATTTTGCACTATTTGCATGGATGTATCACTCACAGCGTGAGATCAAGCTGGACAGGCGTAGCCCAGAATTGGTCTAATCAAAATTTTGTAAGTATTATTAAAAGTCTCTTTCGACTCAACATAGTGTGAACCAGACAGTACTCTCAGGACCGATATTCGGCGCATTTTTATTTTCTGATAATAACATAACTTGGGCCATGCGAGGGCGTGTGGTTTTTCCAGTAAATTTATTTAGTCTCTTGAAAAATGCGATATGAATTTGAAATTCACAAATTAGTGCGGAAATTTCGGGTTCTTTTCCTGATATTCCGTTAGTTCAGTCTGAGAAGACTTAAAATTTTTGTAGATTGGGATTGGTTACCATGAGGAGTTGGTAAGGGCGGGGTAATAGTAGAAGTAGAGTGCGCTGTACGGTTTTGAGGGTTAGTGTTTGGATCGTTCGGGGGCTTTTAGGCGTATCGTTTACTGGGAGGGGCAGGATATTATTGTTCGTACAAGTAGGGTAGTAAAAGTTTCTGTGATGTTTGAGGTTTGCTAGTCCACAATTTAGGTGGAACCATCCGCATATACGGCACCAAACACTGGCTTGAGAGCGGGAGATATTTGTTTTACAAGGAGAGCAGATATAGAGGCCTGGGCTATTGCCGGCACGTAAACAGAGGATAAATAATAGACGGAGCAGCTCAGCTGACTTTAGACACGCCGCCACCAAAAACACGGTTTGAGCATGCTTTCTGCGCTCCCAAACACGGGAGGGGATTTTGATGCCATTTGCGACGACTTGCCGTGTCCACCACGAGAAGGCGGTGCCAGTGGACCCGTGTGATGGGAGACTATATGATCGCGTAGAACGTAAATAAATTAGGCATAATCGACAACAGATGTCTCAGAAAAAACAATAACACTCAAAAAACTAAATCATAACAGCGGAGCAATAGGGCACAACCGCGCTTCTTCTTAAAGCTAAACAGTTCATATTTGATCCCTTGGACAAATTGCCTTAATGTCAAAAAACACCAGGAGATAAATTTAACTGATTGTTAGCATGTTTGGATACGACAAAACTGCCGAGTGGAAGAGTTCAAATAATACCTGCAGAGATATGGATATGTTTATTGCCACGGATGGAAATGATACGTATGTCGGCATTTGCAGAGCCGCTATTCTGAGGATGACGCAGATTATGACAGTGACTAGACACTGGAACCATGTGACAAACATGGGTGCATCTAGTTGGAGAGAGTCCCCGTTTAGGAGGTACTTGTTCAGAAACACCATCGAAAGAGACACGGCCCTGAAAAGAAACAGAAACGCCAATTATTGACTCGAAAAAATGCCATAATACAAATTTCACAAGACTGATAACTTAGCCTACATAGATCGCCTTTTTTAGACAACAGCAAGTAAAACTGTATGAGCAAAATCTTTCAAACCATTTTTCATCTGTTTCTTTTTGTCATATCTTTTTGTGTTCTTTCACTTACCAGTAAGCGCTGACTACGACGAGCACCTTAAAGTACTGTTTGGCCAGAGATTCATTGGCCCCATTAAAGCCAGCACCAGATCCAGCCATCTTCTCAAGTCTCTGGACTCCACTCGCTTGTTAGCACTATACTTTTCTGAAGCACAAATTGTTCTCAACTACACTCAAGGATGAAAGAAATGTAACACGGTAACCAAACAATCGAGGCCAACTGCTGCGTTAGCTGTTTAGAATCCGTAAATATAGCATAGAACAGCTCAAAATGCGTTGAATTCAGACACTCGTTACCATCTCTATTCTTATATACAGTCAGTTTTACTCACATATTGAAAATTTCTGTTAAAAAACAATGAAAACTATTTCATCAGTCACTTTTAATAATTCTCATTTAAAAACAAATGGAAGGATCTAAAAATCCTACCACGAGAAGTTCTATAGCGTTGCGCTTGTTTTTGTAGGCACCAGATATCGAGCTTCACTAAATGTAAATTGTCAACTCGTTCATTATGCTTAGATTCTTTTGTAAGTGTCTCCAAACTAAGACAATCAGCTTTAAACACGACAAATTTTCTTAAAACTGTCGTCTTTATTTTTCTGCAGTGCTAAAGCAAATGAGGTGCTATTTTTGTTTTTGTAATTAAAGGTGTTTTTGGGATAATATAAGTTTCGACCTAACAAGATTAGGTGGATGCTGTAAAAGAATCAGAAGTTGTTACAATCGAAATGGTTACAATTGAACCGCTTACAATCGATTTGAATTGAACCGCAGAACTGTCGAGTTCAACCTCCTATATTTTGAAAATGCTAGTTTCAAATCCAAGCGATTTCATTTGAAAAATTCGTCACTATGATTTCCGTCGGGCAAATTTGACAACGCTTCGACTTTTGTAATTACAACTCGGCAGAAACTCGGCGGATTTAAGGGGGGGGGGGACGCCCCACTCTCAGGGATTCGACCCCCTGCCGGAAAATAACCTACTAGGAATTTGAATTTAGGACTAATTGTATTTTTTGGAAACTTGATAAACATGGCTCGCTTCTTATATGGCGTGAAAAAAAAACGACTAATGAAGTTAATATTCCTGGCGTCAAAAACCAAAGACGGCTGACTGCCTTTGACGATACAGAAGTTACACTATGCTAGATCACTGAAAAAGATTAAGCCAACATAGCTGTTGATAAAAACAAGCCCAGCCAGGTTAATCAAACATTCGAAGTTTACAGAAACCGCTTTTTTAATAGATTTAATTCAAATGGTCAGCGCAGAACTCTTGAATTGAATCGCAGAACTGTCGAGTTGAACCTCCTATATTTTGAAAATGCTAGTTTCAAATCCAAGCGATTTCATTTGAAAAATTCGTCACTATGATTTCCGTCGGGCAAATTTGACAACGCTTCGACTTTTGTAATTACAATTAGTTCTCATTGACACTTAATGGCAAGTATAGCCATAGCCACTGTAATTTCAAAAACCTTCATGGTTCAAATATGCCAAGTGTCGTAGTTGCATCAGTTAAGGCACATTTAAGGAAACTAAATGACAAATAAGCACCTCAGTCAACACAACAGCACTAAAAAGTGATTTGCTAAAAAAAGTTTGATATTGAAAAAAAACAAGCATCGCAAGAATCTTTTACAGACATTTCACAACTTTTAAGTAAAACGAAACTTTATTTTCCAAAGTAACGCAGGCGAAAAAAACTACAGAACTTAAGACTTATAAACAGTTATTAAGTCCCCCTCACCCTCAAAACACACACACAGGCAAAAACTTTTTTCACTCGTCGAACGACGCAACCTGAGGCCACTGAGCTGCTATAATATAGACCTAAAGCTATCAATCGGGAAAACAAGAAACAAAAACAAAACAAAAATGAAATTTAAACAAATCGAGTTGTCAAAGTTACAACTATTATAAAAAGCGAATTTCAAACAGGACAGAGATTTTAAAACGCTATGGTAAACCTGCTATGGTAAATTTTTAAGACAGAAGCGAAGCTGTTCTTCGCAGACACTTGCGAGAACACGACCAAAAGCAGCTCTATCAAAAGAAATAAGGAAGTAGAAATAACCCTCGAATTAGCAGAAACTCGGCTACGTGTAGGATTTGAATCTGCAACCTACTGCAATCAAGTAATTTTGAGCCTCACGCACTATCCACTCAGCCACACAACATCCGACAAACACTAGTCACGAATAAAGCAGCTATATATGCTAATAAATAGCCAAATCTATTCAGCAAAAGTGGCACCAAAAACTAATAGACTCAATTTTGCAAGTAATAGATTGGAATATAACAAACTCAAGGCATTCACACTAATTTTTATTACGTATAAATTATGCATTTCAAAAAATTGCGAGATATCTTAGAAAGAGTTAGAAAATTTCTCAAATTTCTTGTTGTTTGAACTAAATCACCTTTTTCGGTTGATTTGATGAATTAAAAATGCATCAACAGTGTTAACTTATTACTATTGGAATGTCAAAGCACATGCTTTGAAAAAACTGTAAAGGTGCCCCAAAAGTGGCACAAATATTTGCGACTTAGATTGGAAAAAAAAGAAGGTTCGTACTAAAATACTTGCTTCGCAAGTAAAAAGAGAGGTAAATAGAGGCTTCTAAGGAATGAGTTCAGATGAGTCCTGTGAAAAAACTAAATTATAGTAAAAAAGTCTAGTAGCCGATTGCAAAACCCTTGCTTATCGCAAAGCTAATTAAAATACAAACTATGAAATTTCTTTCAGTAACTTATATTTAACTTTGCAGCAATTCGATAAATTTTTAACAATGTAAGAAAAATCGCGCAAGCGTTCAATTGCAAGCTGAATAATGTGGCGTTCAATAACTTTTGATGCTATCTGCGACAGCTTTTTTTCCAAAATGATAAGCGTTACAAATGGGCCACCTCAAATAGTATTGTCAGCAGAATGAAAAAAAAAAACATTTAGATTACAGTATCTATTGATTAGGTGAGTTATTGCAATGAACGAACAAAATGAGCTTTAATAACATCAGCATTTATCACAAGTATTTTCAATAGTTTTCTCTTCGCACAATTTTATTTGCTCCACCATTTTCCGAAGGAAAGGGCGTCTAAACAAAACTTGGCCATGCAATGTCTGAAATCGCGGCAAACATTTTACGCTCTATTCTGCTGTCGCGTTGGAAGACGTAGGGTGCAAAAGTGGGGGTAAGTTTCTACGTGTAGGGTCGGATGCAGTAGGTGGAGGAGGGGGCCCCCTCTTACTGACATCCTCCAAATAGTTGATAATCATCTTTCGCCTCTCTTGATTGATGCTGTTTAACACTAGATACCTCTTGTCTTTCTAAACAAAAGAATACGAAGTTTCCGAACAAATTCAATTGTTTTAGTAAAAAGGCCCACAATATTCTGAAACATTGAAAACCATCATATATTTTCATCTTAGTTTATTTCCAAGAGCCGGATGTTTTCACAGATAATCTACAAGGATTTCTTTTTATGTATACCAGTAAGTATGCTGTCAAATACCTCAAAGTGTACCAAATAAACATACCTTAAGAATCTCTTCGATATCATGCATGTGCTGTTCGCTTTGTCTGACCAAGGAGTGACTTTTATGTGTGATCATTCTCGTCTCACGCAACAATTCTTTGAAATTATGTTTAGCCCGCATGTATGCACTCTCCCGCCATGCCTCGAACTCCCTTTCTCTAGTTCTGTCATTGCTACTCACTTTCTCCCATCGCGGTTCATCTCTCAACCTTCGTTTCGCCTCTCTCCAAGTGGTCGTAAAGGAGATACCTTCGCATTGGTCCAACATTTCTCTGAACTGCTGTTTGCGCTTTTCGCCCAACTGTTGTACGTGTTGCTTGAATAACTCTTCTTTGTCATCCCTCGAGAGGAGAGCACTACTTCCTTGTTCCTTCTCTTTATCTCTATCTCTATCCTCCTCCCACCTATGATCTTTCTTCAACAATCTTCGCCCACTTTTCCACGTCATCTCTGCGTCTTTGATGATATCTTGTAAGAGTGCATTGAACCTGAGAACCGTTTCCTCTCTCCTATGATGCAGTCTCTGCTCTGAGATCTGCCTCTGATTCAATTCTCTTTCCCTTTCTACTGCTTCCTCTCGTATCCTTAAGCTCTCCTCCATTCGTCTACGTCTCTCTTGCTCTTCTAACTGGCCAGGGTTAATGCTAACGTCCTCGTCGCCAGCAGTTCTTCTTAACTGCTGTATATACTCAGTGAACCATTGCTCTCGCAGAGTGGATGACGGCACTGCTCTGTATCTACTATCGTCCTCCAGAACACTTTTTAGTTTGCTCCAACGGGCACTATCATCTAGGTACTTCTGTTCCGCCAATAGGCAAAGAAACTCATCTTTCAAATTACTCAGCTTTGCTTTACTGCTATCTTGCTCCTTCTGTCTTAATTGACTCACAAACTCTTCGAACATGCTCTCCCTTTCCCTGTTTTTCTCGACCGCTTTGAAACGAACATCTTTACTCCAACCTTTGGCCACCCACTCATTGAAAGTCATTCTTGGTGTTATACTCGACTCCTCTAGAAGTGTCTTGAACTGTTCTCTCTTCTCTTTAAGTCTATGACTCTTCTCTTTCCGCTCTTCCTCGGCCTTGAGGCGCGTGAAAGTGTCAAACATTGTTTTCCTCTCTTTGGCCGACAACAGACTGTACCTATGATCAAAAACTATCTTGGGTAGCTCCTTATCCCACGTTGAAAAGGCCGACACACTTCTCTCCTGCAACATTTCCATGAATTGTTGCTGCCTAGTTTCCAGGGGTATAGCGGCCCGCAAATTGGCAACTCTGGCCTCATCTACCTGCTGAGCAGCCTCTTCGGTTCTCTTTTTTTTCGCTGCTGGACCTTCACTGTCTTCGAGTACGGCTGTCTGACCCAATATTTCAGTTCCCTCTTCCTGCATTAAAGTCTTCTCTACTGTGCTCATTAAATCTTTACCTGGCACATCGGAAGAATTTTTTGAGTTGTTATTGTTTCTATGTGATGGGCTCGTAAGAATTCTATCTACGTCTTTGTTGTGTAACAGTTCTTCGGGTCTGTGCCACACAGACAATTTAGAAGAAGGATTGAAGTAAAACACCCGGTTGTCCCCAGTAAATACAACGCACCAAGCGCTGTGAGGTACAGGTTCAGAAGCCACTGGCTTGGCACGGGCCTTGGCCTCTGCCTCTTTGGCCTCCTTTTCCAGTTTATCTTTTTCCTCTTTCTCTCTTTTCTGTTTCTCTACTTTTTCTAACTCCTCTCTTTCTTTTTTCATTCTTTCTTCCTCTTCTACCTGCCGCGGCTTCACCCAAGTAGTCTGCATTGTCCTTACATTGTACCAGTACATCTTCCCATCTGGAGTTACATTCTCAGCCCATTCACTTCCCCCATTTCCCAGCTGAGGAGGCTGCACACTAGGAATATTCGGAGCCCCTGGAGGAGGTCCATTCACTGCTGATGCTTGCATGTGTGGGAGAAGCTGAGGGGGTCCCATTGGGTGATTTGGAGGCATACCTATACCTGGGTTCATATTTACATGTTGAGGTGGCCTATGAGGCGGCATTCCCGGAGGAGGGTGCTGCACATGCATAGTAGGTGGCCTCCCTGGACCATTCTGTCCGTTGAGACCTCCCATTCCAGGAGGCAGCATTGCAGCGAAATTTGGTGGAGGCATTGCAGGTCTTGGAAGATTGGGTAAAGGCATCCCTCCCATTGTTGCCGGAGGTCCACCATTTGTATTCATAAATGGAGGATGTGTATGCTGCGGTGGTACTCTAGGATACATATGTGGCGGACCTCCGGTCTGATTGAAGTGTGGGGAGGGTGGCAATGTACTTGACGCGGGTTGACCAAACCTCAAGCGTGCCTGTGGATTATTTCCTTGTGGCGGAAGATTCGGGAGTGCCCCAAGAGTGGAGCTAATTGTAAGTACCATCTTCTTAAATTCTTCTTGTGTGATCACAGTTGTCTTATCCGGTCTAGTCCATTGCGTCTGCCTCGTCTGCGCATGGTAGAAGTACACCTTCCCGTCTGGTCCAGGTGTCTCCACCCATACATCAGGAGCCGGTATCTGAGATTGTGCTTGTGGTGGTCTGATCATTGGCATCTGTGGGACCATTGGAGGACCAAGTGGTAGAGCAGTTGAGTTAACGGATGCTGTTTGTACTTGCATAGAGTTGGTTACATTTTTTTGAGGCTCAGCAACTATACTGCTAGGCACAATGGACACCTTATTGATGATTTCTAATGATTTATGGTCAGAATCAGGAGCAGCATTTTCAATACTTGAAAAATTAGGCTGACTTGAGACTGTGGGAGCTACTTCAAACGCCGATTGAGAATCTTCAATGTCTGCTTCACGATTTAGCTCTTCTATTTCACTTACTTTTAATAATTGCGTCGTACTGCCAGGCATATCATCTTCTCGGTTTCTATCATCGCTTGACTTTGTCACGTCTATTTTCTCATCTGGTTTCGACGATGTTTGATCTTCCGACTGCTTTTCACTGCTCATATTTTCGTTGGTATTATTCTGTTCGTCCATTCATCTCAAAATTCAAGAGACACTGATGAAGTTTCTGACTCAGTGAGAGCAACTAGAAAATGCCATAAACGTATTGAAACAACTGAACAAGAATGTTCTTCTGTTATGTAACAGATGTGTGGAAAATAACCAGAAGGATGCAATTATTAATACTAAACATGCGAATGAAAGCACTCAAAAAACACAAACAATCGAAGAAGGCACCAAAGAACTCAAGGAAGCGATGATTGAAATCAAATCAGAAATGCAACAAAAACAAGTTGCGCCAGAAGCGAAAAAACCCACACCCAAAAACGGGAAAGCATCCCAAAAAGAATACGATGGCATACGCATAAGAGGCATACCCGAGTCAGAGGCAACAGACGCCAGGTCAAGAGCAGACCAAGATATGCAAAAAGTGATTCATCTTCTTGATGTGATGGACGTCAAGTGCCCAATAAGTGATCTCAGAAGACTCGGAATTTTTTTTTTTAATTTTGATCTGAAAAATACAGAACAGAAACAGACACTTTCAATATAGTAAAAATGCACAGCATCAAACCATCCAAAACGGTGTGCAACGACAGGCCGAGTTGTGGTACTCGGGAACCGTGAACAGATGAAAGTAGAGCGGGCGATAGACACTGATTGATATGGAAGACTCGGAAAATAAAAATCATCCGTTAGTTCTAAGAGTCTCTGCGCCATGGGAGAAACGAAGAATCCTTCTTTCTATATACAAGCTCAAAGGCTACGAACACAAAGTATTCATAAGCAAAGAGCTAACACATGATGAACAGGAAATCGAAAACAACATGATTAAAACAAGACGTGGTTTCATTCAATCGGGAAAATTCGAGAGCACACAACTCCGACTAAGAAATCTAAAATCAATTAGAAAAACTGAAAAAGGATGGGTAGAGGTAAAACCCGATGACGATTCAGCCTGACTAACCCAAATACAAAAACTGGTATCAACAATACTCAGCTTTAATGTAAGAAGTTTAAAAGAAAGGTCACGGCTAACTTGTTTAGCAAATGCAATCTGTCTTTCAAATAAACATATTTTATGCCTAACTGAAACATGGCTGACTGATGAAGTAAGATCCGAAACTCTTTTCTTACCAGATTTCGAAATATACAGATTTGATCGACCATCAAAAATAACCAGACTAAACATGGCGTTGTCTTAATTGCCATCAGAAACAATTCTAAACAACAACATGTACCGATTAACTCAAATATTAAACAAGTTACATTGAGACTAATTAATTTCTAAAATATACCCCCTCTCAATGGCTGTGTTTATTGCCCACCAAAAGATAGCCCACATAGACCAACAGTCTTTTCTATTGTTGATTTTCTGACCAAAAATTAGTGCAACTGCAAAAGACTTGAATTGTGAAAAAATATTGATAAATGGAGATATAAATTTTTCGAAAACTGACTGGAAAGTAATGGCATCACATGATCCCGAGGAAGATCTAATTGTGCCATTCTGCCAGATTGGCACAGCGCAACCTTCCGGCGACACGAAAGGAAACGAATAAAGGCCTTAGTTACGAAAAATTATTGCGAAGGAGGGTAGGAATATTCTAGAATTTTTATTTTTAAAATTTTGATTGAAGAGTGAATATTTCTGAGAAATAGAAAAAGACGGCCATTTTGACTGAAAGGGACGAAAAAACAGAACAACGACAAATATTGTGGAAAACGGTCGCACAAGAGACGAGAAATACGAAGCCTTTTATCGTGGCAACAACACACGATAAGAACCTTTGCAGTGGATATTAGTGGAGAAGGAAGCTTCAGTTGGGAAGGAATATTCCACGGAACCCTACCGTGCCACAAATTGGGAGAGATAAGAACGTTATCTCAGGAAGATTACGGGAGCGGAGGCTTGGTCCCCCAGAGACTGTTGTATGTGAAGGGACTATATAAAACTGACTTTGTAGCTACTTGGATGTCGTGAAACTTTGAATTAACACCGGTTTTGTTTGATATTTTAGAATATGAGTAGCTAGAAAGAGGAAAGGGTCAATCCATCTCCAATGGATTTAATATAGAACTGTCACACAAAAACATATTAAAATAGGTTGTTCGAGCCGTGTTTTTAATGACAATCACGTAGTCTGAGGATCCGAGACTCAGCTATGTGCTTGTGTTGGCATGTAAACGAAAGCTGATCAAAAGTCGTTTGACTGATGGCCAAAAAATAGTAACTTTTTACTTAGCCCTAACAGACCAGAAAATCAACTGGCAAGGTCGAGACGGTAAAAAACGAGTAGGATTAAGGTAACTGACGCCTGCCAGTCGATAATTGGTACTTTTTCTACGCTCCGTCGCTGTGTAGTATTTGGGCGAATGTTACATAGACGTTTTTATGGCGCTCCTGGGTGGGCCTGTTAAAGGCATGAGACCATCATGATCAGCAAGCGTTTCAGCGACGAACCCTCCGCTCCGGGCGTATGCCCGAGTTAGAGGCCTTAATGACCGTTATTGTACTAGGGGGAAGGTGCGTACCCTCCGTCTAGTTCTATTTAGCTTTTTAACTTAGTTAACACCGAAAATTCCGGGGGCCGGAGGGTTAGGTGGGAAATCTAGAGCCCGCTTGTCCCGAGGTCCCAGGACCAAAAACAATTAAAGAGAAAGCGTAAAACCAAACAAAAATAGTGTATAACCAAGAAAAAGCCAAAAATAAATTTATCTGAAAACAAAAAAGTACAAAAAACAGTAAAAAATCCAAAAAAGACCAAAAACAGTACAAAATGCATAAAGTGACAGTTTATATGTTATTTCCGGACGATATGTGATCTGACCTTCCTATTTGTTGTTTTTTCAGATTAATTTATATCGTTTCTGATAGAAAGATTGTGTGTTTTGGTGAAGGGTTGGATACCCTCCCTTGAGTGTAATTTGAGTATTTAAGCACGTTAATGGTGATTTTGCCGGTGGCCGGAGGGTAGAGTGGCAAGCTGACCGACGTGTTCCACACTCAACAAGGACATCGGGGACAACATCCACAACGACTGTTGGGTATCGTTGAAACAATTTTTTTATCATTCGGGTACTATTTCATCAAAACTTAAGTGGTGGGGTGCACGATTGGCGCGGTCCGATTGTACCCTCCATCGATTACAAATTTCCGAGTTAAGGGTCTTAATTCGAGTATTTTGGTGCAAAAGAGGGTATAGTACTATTCATTAACGACTACTAATAGGTTATTATCCTTATTACATATTACTTATCTCCTAATTAGACCCAAGAAACACCCAAATTTTGTCGAAAATTATCGATTTTCGACCAAACTGTAGACCCCCAAACTTTTGGATATCCGAGCTTTCCCGAACAGCAAAAAGCTTTTATATAGGGCGTAGCTACGTAATTCCATCCCCCTAACTGAAGAAACGGCGTGAGAAAAGACTCAGTAAAAGTTGGAAATAACCAAAATTTTTCGATCAAATTTTTGATAATTTTCTGAAATTTGTCAATCTGTTTTGGGGATCGAGTTTTTGAGTTTTTAGAGTTATAGCAATAAAATTTTTTGTGTTAGGAGCGTTCTAGCATAACGTGCTCGGCTGTCAGAAAAATTCTTGAGTAACCCTCCGATTAGCTCCGTGGATAGAGCTAACGACTTAAGAATTGGAAAAGGAAGGAATCGGAGGGTCCAAATTTGATAGTTATTGGCCAAATTTTTGTCTTCAAACCAATTGTGGTCCGGTTTTTTGCATAATTCCAGTGCCGTACAGGGTTACTACGCTCGTTTCAATTATTTTTAGGCTATTTCAATAGGAATTGCGGAAAAAGTTTCTCAGAACCTATATAGGTGGTGAAAAAAGGCCATTTGAACAAACACGTTTTTGGCAATTTCTCAAAGACTAGCCAACCGATCGGGATACTTTTGGTACCATAAGTCGATGTTTTGGACCACTTTTCCGGACCGCAACCGTTTTCGGGTTGATAATCTCGGAAAAGAAAATTTTTTTAGAATTTGTTGGTTCGGAGGGTCCAAATTATAAGTAACCCTCCGAGCGGCAGAAAATTTTATCAAAACACCTTTTTATCCTACTGGGAAGATTGAGCATGTCAGCCAACCTAGTTTTAAGTCAGGTGGACCGCTTTTGGAGACTTTATTGCGGTAGCATAACCTTTTTTCTTGATTTTTGGGCAACCCTCCGAAGTAACCCTCCGGAGTCAGCTAAACCCCTTAGCAACCCTCCCAAGTGGAAAATTTCCACGAGATCATCCAAAGAAGTTAAAACAGCCCCCCATAGAGAATTTAGCTTCTTTTGACGTTTCCTGAAGTTAATTGAAGGCCCTTCTAAATGAGGTTCAGAAATTTGAAAATTTTGGAGGAACCCTCTGAAGTAACCCTCCGGAGCATATTAAGCATCTTATTGACTCTCCTTAGTAAATTTAGGGGGACCCTCCGAAGTAACTTGGGTGATCAAGGTACCCTCCGAAGTAACCCTCCGAGGTAGGCTAAGTGTCTTAACAACCCTCCGAAGTAACCCTCCGGAGTGACTTAAACTTCTTGGCAACCCTCCTTGTTAGAAACTTGAGGAAACCTTCTGTGGCAATTTGGGAGACGGGAAATATCCATTTAATAAAGATCATATTAGGATATTAGGCGTGCTTATTAGGATCATAGGAGCCCATTTGGACCCGGAAATTCATGATCAACTTTGAGTTCTAGATCGGGTGTATCAGAGGTACCCGAACAAAAAAATTTTTTTGATTTTGATTTTGGTTGTGTGGTTGCCTTGAGCTACTTAATAGGAAAGTTCGGGCAATCCGGGAACAAATAAAAGAAGACCTCAGTGAGTGTATTAGGCAAATACACACTCACTTGAGAAGAAAAGTTGTTCCCTGCTCTCGTGCACTTGGAGCGTTGCGGGTGTGGGGGAGCTTTTTCATAGATTTTAGAGATTTTCGGTCAGAGGTTGCCTTGAGCTACTTAGTAGGACAGCTCGGGCAATCGCGGGACACCTAAAAGAAGACCTCGGTGGGTGTATTAGGCAAATACACACCCACTTGAGAAGACTGTGTCCTCGGCTTCGTTCTTTCGGATCGTTCCGATTGAGGGAAGTCTTTTTCTTTAAGATTAAGTTTTATTGATCTGTTTCTGAATCATCACTGCTTTTTACCAAGGATTGTTTGATTTTAACAAAGCAGTGACTTGATAAATTGTGTGGCAATAAATTGATACTGACGAAAGGTCGCTGTCACCTGTAGGATATTCTTATCTGATTATCAATTGTGTTTTGTGTATTGATTATATCTTGTGAAAATTTTGTGATACCGTTATACTATACAACAAGGTTGAGTTAGCATTATATCAATAGTGAGTAGGCCCTGTGTGTAACTTTAGCTGAGTCACTAAGATTGTCATTGAGAAATCTAAGAGACATTTTTGATACTTACGAGATCGAAGAGGCAGCGTTAAGTAGTTTAACTTGAACTTGTTTGCGGTACGTGTGCATCGCCAT